GCTGTATGATTTTAAAAATGTTAAGTGTACTTCTCTATAGTGTTAAGTGTAGTCATGTTGTTGTGCAACAATCATCACCATCCCTCCCTAGAAATCTTTCACCTTCCCAAATTAAAACTCTCTATTAAACACTAACTCCCATTGTTCAAATATTTTTTTAGAACTCATCTATATGGTAAGAAACATGTACCTAATTAGGATTATTATTTGAGTGAGATTGGAATTTGGGGGTTCATTATAGCAATGTTCCAAAGGACAATGTTTTCTATATTTATATTACGATCAATGCTTGGGGCTGAGGTTGTGGCTCGGTGGTAGAGCAATTGCCTAGCATGTGTGAGGTACTGGGTTTGATTCTCAGCACCACATATAAATAAATAAAATAAAGGTCCAATATATATTTGGCTTTCTTTTTAAATTGTTTTTTAAAAATTATCTTTGGAGAACTGCAGAGTAGATGTAGATAGACAAAGTAAGATGAGCATCTCAGTAACCTTTACCTCTTAGCAAGAGTTTTGTCCTCAGTCTAGTCTTGCCCTTCAACTGTGGAATAAGTTTGTATAATTACCATGGGGAAACTTCAATCCTACAAGGTGCCATATCCTGTAATTAATATTAATAGGTAATATTAATTTGGTCACACTTCCTGCCTGAAACATAGTCTGTCATCAGCAGTGTCACTCATGTAAAGTAACTTGGAAGAAAAACAGGCAAAAATTTATGATTAACAAATACAGAATATAGTTATTATTATTTTTGTGGTGCTGGAAAAAGATAGTTATTACTAACTCAACTGGTTGCAAAAATATAAACATGGAAGTTGTAGTACCTTCCTCCATTGCTTGCTCTGTATAATACTTGCCTTCAGTCAGCACTTAGCTAGATGAGGTCCTTCAGAGCTTTATCCACTGTGGATCTGAGCCCTTGAATCCCTACTCTTATTGGGTAACTTCAGGTCTCTATGGGCCAGGAGTATTGTTCAAGTCACCTCTGTGACCCCTGGATCAGTCTCTCCAGTCCTGCAGTGATGTACTTTTCTGATTCTTGGTTAAATGGTGTGAGAAGCTCCAAGTGGTTAGGGGAAAGTCTCAGCTTCTAATTCATCAGACTCATAATTGTGTCATATAGTGAAAACCTTCCTCTGTGAGATTATGGGACCTCCAAACACACTGAATTGAAGACTATAAGAGGGGCAAGTAAACATTTTTTAAGTAGGTTATAAAGTCACATAATGAGAGGGTCACCTTCCAATCTACTCCTTGGTTTCTAGGACCTTGCATTCTGCTATAGAGAGAAGTCACATTCAGTTATCCACTAGTTTAAACAAACCCCACATGTTCTAGAGCTAGTGTTACACCTCAGCCTTCCTCAGGTTCTATCAAATCAGTTATATCTAGGTCATGGGCACATGGTAAGACTGGTGAATCTCATGCCCCTGAGCACATTGGTGCACTTTCTTTGCTGTAAAATGAATTTCCTGGTCAGAGACAATGTTGCATGTGTTTTATAAAAAAAAAGGAATGAAAAGGCATTTTTATGTGTATGAATATCTTGCATGATGAAGTACTACCAGCCGGAAACTCACATCCAATGATAGAGTCAGTATCCACCCCTAGAGTATACATTTATGTTTCCTTTATGATGGATGCCACCAGCTAGCCACGAGTCTCCTGAAATAATAAGCTGAACATTCAGGGGTGATAGCTAAATAATCCTAAAAGCAAGGATATTCATATTGTTAATCCTATGCATGGCCCTGTTCCTCTGTCCCAAATCCCCTTGCCCCAAGTCTCAGCATTTTAGGCTGCCTTAGAGTGTCTTTAAATTAGCTTAAGAGTCTTTATAAATGTAGCATTTAATTATTGCTCCAATTCTGAAACCCTTAAAATTAGACCTTGGATTCAATTCTCATTTCCATATCTTATAATTAGGGAAAAAATAAGCTTTTCCAGAGTTAGGATGGAGACCCCCTGGTTCTCAACTGTGGATTCATTGCTTTTAATTTTTCCTTTTCATCAGGYCAATCTTCTAGGACAATCATAAGAAGGTAGAGAACTTTGTAATCTTTATAGTTACTTTTTGATCATACCAACCACACTATTTCCTTTCCTTCCTTGTGCCTTCTTCACCACCTGCACTTGATCCTATACCACCAATATTCATACTTTGAATAGGTTTAGTGCTGTGGCATGCAATAGATTTTTTTTCCATTCCTTTTAGTAGGGTTAGCTGTGCCTTCCCCCAGTGCATGAGAAAACCARCTTCAGAAACACATGTTGGGAATCTCTTTCTGAGAATTACATTCAATACAAATTCCTGTTACCAGCCAGGGTTTCAGCAAGAAATGAAAGACATGCTCAAGTTCGAGGAATATTAATTAAAAAGCTTATTTATAAATGTACAAATAAGATGTAGAACAGTTTGGAGGAGCAAAGAAGGACCCTGGAGCTAAGATAAAGAGATTGTGATCACCCATACACCTGAGGAAATAAAGGCAAGAAGCAGGAACCAAAACTTATGGGCAAAGAGGGCTACAGGGTATGTTTTTAGTTTGTTTTACGTTTGGTTTTGTTTGTTTGCTTGCTTAATGACTGGACACATAGCTCACACAGYAACCCAGCGGAAAAGTCTGAGAGAGCAAATATTCCAAAGTCATCCTCTTTCATTCGTGTAATCTGCGTATTATTTCACCAGAAGCCACTGAAAAGAGAGCCAATTGCTATAATCCTTAGTTTCATTTTGTGAGAAACAGAGAAAGGTGGAGAAATGGAGATTGTATCTGGGGAAGCAAACAGGAGACAGCCAGCACATCTAATATATGCTGGACACACTACCGGATTCAGCAACATATTTTGAAGAGAAGCTATAATTCCTATATAAAAATCCTAAAAATCTATAGCAAAGTCATGTGCCTTAACAATTGTAGCAGCGAATAATATGTGTTCATAATTTACTAGGGTAAATAAAAATAATTGCATAGAAATCTAAAAGTTGACCTGTTCAAAATTTAATTGCTTTTCTTCCCAAGAGTCTTATCATGACTAGTGACATAATTTAGCCACCCAGTTACACATCCAAGAAGCTCAGAAGTCATGTGAAAATACATCTCTGCCATTTCCTCAATTCAGAGATTAATTTAATCCAGGAGTCATACAGTTATTCTCTCTCTTATGTGGTGATATTTCGTTCCTTCCCCAGCAACACCTGTTTGGATTGAAATACTCATTCTGTTTGCCATGTGACATTATAGCCTCCATTCCTTCCTCAGCCTTCAGAATCGCACTTCAAATATGTAAATCTCTATATACTGTACCATGACTATAAATTCAATAGCTAAAAATAATATTTTTAAGAATTTTTTTACTCCAAAACTTTATAAAAACTTAAACACTTATATTTAATTAATTTAGGTATGTGAAATAAATACTCTTATGCAYTTTTTTGGATAGTAAACAGAGGTACAGAAATTACACAAATAACTCAGGTAACCGTTAAGTAGTAAAGCCAGGGTGTGAGTCTGATTCCAAGGCTCTCAMTTTTCATCTCTCTTAAATATTTCAACAATATTAAAAGTGGTAAGAAAATTAATACTTATAGTCCTTGAGTTCGTTACAGTACTTATACTTTATAGTATAGTAGTGTCAGGTATTATTCTGGTTACTTYAGATATTATTACTCCAATTAATTCCAACAATAAATACAATGAGAAAGAAATTTTCATCCCCTGTATATAGCTGAAAAATGGAAACACAAAATTTTAGTAATTTTCCTAAACTCATACAGTTAAATGACAAGGGCAGAATTTCGACTTAGTTGATCCCTTTCTAAGACCCTGCTTTTAACCCCTATGCACGTGGCTGCTTAGACTGTTACAATTCCCTTGCATAGAGGATAAAACTTACATTCATTAACCTGGCATGTGGAGCCTTCGTAATTTGCTCTCTGCCTCACTCATCATTCTTACCAGGTTTTGCTCAAGTCCTCTTGCTCAGCAAGGCTTCCTCATATTGAGTCTGATGTAGGTCCTGGTTGCCTCATGCTTCGTGAGAAAGCCCCTCTCTCTTCACAAGGTTGCACCTCCTCACTAGTAAAGCCTCTGTGGACCTTCTCCCTCTTATTATATTTATGTGCTGCAGAGGGAAGTGCTCTCCCAGGTTGCTAGAACTGCCCGTGTACACAGGGTGGTATTTGCACAGCATTGTTGCCATCAGCTATTTTTTCCTCTTGTCTGTAACACCACTAGCACCTAGGAAGCTGTTTGGTTCTTTTTTTTTTTTTTTTGAGGTATCCATTGATAACTATCACATTTATCTGCTGAGTCAAAAATCAAACTATCATATGAATGAAAAGCCCTCACATTTGATTGAGGAAACCAATTTCATATTCCCCTTTGCTTTTTATTGACCACACGAGTCCACACATCTATCTCTAATTACAAGTCCTCCATGAAGATAAAATTTGGAAATCCATATCCCTTTCTGAAACGGCCACTCCGTTCTCCCCTAATAATAAGCCTAAATCTCTGTCTGTAAACTTTTCTGTTTAAGTAAATGTAATTATATGTGACAGATGTTTGCAATACAGAGACTTAGGAGATAAGGTTCTGTTCTCTAGGTCTGTCACTTTGAAAAAGCAGGTCATTCAATGAAGTCTACAAAACCAGAAGACAAATGACATCTAGCTTGGGAAGAACTCGCCCTTGAGTGGGAAAGACAGGTCAGTCTGGGCCTACTCATTATATTGCATATTCTTAAGGGTTGGGTTGCCAGAATTAGCAAATCAAAATTTGAGGATACTAAATACTACAAAGGAAATGCTTATACTAAAACTTGCTTATTGTTTATCTGAAATTAAAATCTAACTGATGCCCTACAATTTTACCTGGCAAGTTTACTTGAGAGTTAATTACTATGAAAAGATGTGGAGGTATTTGAATTCTGCAACTTCTTTCTCCTGTTATCACTGTTTATGAACTTGCCTCATTCCTTATCACAGGTGCAATGGAAACTACAAGGGTACTTTTCTGCAGACTCTTTCTTGTCTTGTATCTCCTTCAGATGGTTACACCAAGTTCAGGTATGATCTCTCACTTGTCCTTACAAATATAAGAAAAATGAAGTTTGCCAGGAAAAGCAAGGAAGAACTCAAAAAATAAGTTTTTATTTATTTTTTGACAATTTCTTCTAAGGTTTAATATGTAGTAATGATATGAAGATGAGCACCATAGGATACAGCTTATATTTAGGAAGAATTAATCGTTCCTAATGAGCAAGTTTTCTTTTTTTATCTTATCTTATTTATTTATTTATTTATTTTTATTAGTTGTTCAAAACATTACATATGAGCAAGTTTTCTTTACTCAGATTTGTACTAGGTTCCAGGAAGGAAAAACAAATAAAGATAAATTAAAACTTGCCCTTGAGAACCTTTCATGTTGAGAAGACATGATTTATGTATTACTTTTGCAGAGAGAAAGTGGTGCAAAGAGTGGATCCATCTTGGAATCCCTGTGTGTTTTCAGAACAGTGTAGAATAAAATAAGGAAAGATGAAACAGACTAGAGGGATCTTGATAGAAGATGGGAATCTGCATTTGTCCAGGAATCTAGACAAGGCAGAAATAAATACAGGTATTTAGAGATCCATAAAATTCTAAGACAACAAATGACATAAACGTATAGAAATTTCTAGTAAAAGCTGCATGTTAGATGAAAAACATCTTACTGATACAACATTAGGTGGGATTCAGTCTTTTGTTAATTAAAATTAAAAATTCCACAAATATCATTGTACCTGTTTTAAGCATAACTGTGAGTGTGAACATACAAAGTATTTCCAGTAGAACTGCTGACCACAGTTTATGCACTATTTTATTATTATATTGAAAATGTTATTCTAAAGTAGTTGTCAATAACTTCTGCCAAATAGCATATGTGAGTTTGTCAGGTAGATGTTACAGGTATCAAAGTTTTTTATCTTTTCCAAACTTATTGTTGAAAAATAGGATTTTACACTGATTACTTTCTAGTTTCTTATTAATGAGTATGGTTGAGTATCTTTCCAAAAATTTTGTATTTTCTTTTTCTCTGAACTTCCTGTTATTTTCTAACTTCCTATTTCCTCTTCATTGTTAGGCATTCATAAAAAGCAACAAAGAAAAAACTAACCATTGATTTGATTTTTAATCTGTTTTATCTGTACCCTATGTTTATGACAAGTTTATAATTTATTAGATTTTTAAATCATATTTTGGATATATAAAATCTATTTTGTTTTGAATTTTAATTTTATTTGATTGATTACAAAATTGCCTGCCAAAGTTGTTATTTATTTTGTCCTCCATTTTTTCCTAATTGACTTTTAATTTTTAACTCACTTAATTTTTATTTTTAACTTTTAATTTTTAGCTATTTTCTAAATCAGTTTCAGGTTCATGAAAAAATTATGCAGGAAGTGTATGGAGTTCCCATATAATCCCACTCCCTTATTGCCATCTGCACCCCCTCCACACACACACACAGTTTCACTTTTTATTCACTTATTATTTCACTTATTATTTCACAGTTTTATTATTAACATTTTCTCTTTTTATACAAGGATTGAGAGAAATCCAACATTATTTTTGTCCAAAAATAATTAATCAGTTGTCCTTTCCACTGATTAACTCAACTTTCTCCACTGATTCCAGAAGTCATCTTTGTCATAAACCAAATTTCCAGTGTGTTTGAATTTCTAAACTCTGTTCCATTGAGATCTCTTCATGAACTAATTTCAGATTTCAAAAAGATGATTATATTTATGCGATAAACTTTAATATTTTGTAGATATATTCCATACCCAGTAGTTACTTAAAGATAGAGCTTTTATATAAAAAATTTCCAGAGATTGAAAATCAAGATGGTGGATCAAAAGCAGGCTATACAAATGCCCGCTTCTCCAGTCTGGAATAAAAGCAGTGAAAGATCAGCTACTCGGCAAAGTTAAATATTAATTTTACTTTCTTCAATATCCAACTTTACAACCTACTATAGTATTATTCCCATTTTCACTTTTGGATGAGTGGAGCTACAAAGATCATTATCTATAAGTTTTTAATGGATTATTAGTATATGGTTTACTCTCAAATGGTCACTTACTCAAGATTATTATGATTTCTCAAAGAAGGGTTGGGGATTGATCACAGTAGTGTGAATATGTTGAGAAGTTGCTTTTATGCTGAGATTTACCCACAGCCTAGGGCACATGGTAAAGACAAAGTAATTCACTAAAAAAGTCTCTGACATAAGAGTAGAAGATATATCTAGCCCAGSGGATATTCAAATATCAAAACAGAAATATGGAAACATGTCTCCAAAATTTTATAACTTTCCAATAGTTGAACCCATAGACAATGAAGTAGAAGAAATGTCAGAAAAAATTTCAAAAAGTTGATTGTCAAAATGATCAAAGTTCTGGGCTGAGGTTTCAACTCAGTGGCAAAATGCTTGCTTAGCATGTGTGAGGCACCGGGATCAAGTTACAGCACCACCTATAAATAAATAAAATACAGGTCCAGTGACAACTAAACAATATTGAAAAACAATGATCAAAGTTCCAAGGAATGATCTATGGGAGAAGATACACACAGAAGAGGAAGATAAAAATAACCAAGAGATCAGGGAAAAGAATAAATTCCATTAGAAAAATAAATAAGCAAATGAGAATTAGTCATGACTCAAATATGAAAAATGAAACAAAATGACAGATGGTAGCACATACCCCTATAATAACAAGTTCAAATGGTCTTAATTCTTTCTAATAAGTTCAAATGGTCTTAATTCTCCAATTAAAAGATATAGAATAGAATACTGGATTGAAAAGCAAGACCCAACTGTATGTTGTCCCAAAAAACACATCTCATAGGCAAAGATGTTCAGAGACTGAAAAGCGAAAGGATGCAAAATGATATCCCATGCAAATGGACTCCAAAACCAAGCAGGATTAGCTAATCTCATATACAGACAAAGAAGACTTCATGCCAAAAATAGAACAAACAATGTCAAAACATTTGATAAAGGAAACAATCTAACAAAAATATAATTATTTATTCCCCAACTATCACTGCACTTAATTTCATAGAACAAACATTACTTGATACAAAGGGACTGACAGGTCCCAATACAACAATAGTGGAGTACTTCACTACCCCATTCTCACTAACAAGTCATTCTGGCACAAAATCAAGAAAGACACATCAGATTTAAACTGTAATATAGCCCAAATAAATTTAACAAGAATCTACAAAATATTTCATCCCAAAAAAGCTTAATACACATTCTTTTCAGAAACTCATGGAACTTTCTCCAAAAGTGATCATGTATTAAGCCAAAAAGCAAACCTTAGCTATTTTAAATGATCTCTTGCATCCTTTCAGATCAGAATGAAATTAAATTAAAAATCAAAATAAAAAAATACAGAAATTATACAAATGTATGAAAGAGTTACTTTTGAATGATAAGTGGATCACTGAAGAAACTGTGGAGATGGGTTTAAAAATTCTTGGAATCCGAAATATTAATAAAACATATCAGAATTTATGGGATACAGCAAAGGCAGTTCTAAGAGGGAGGTTTATATATATTAGTGCCTACATTTAAAAAAATCAGAGAGGTCTCAAAGAAACAAGCTAATGATACATCTCAATGACTTATAAAAACAAGAACAACACAATACCCAAACTAGAAATGTGAAATAAATCATAAACATCAGAGCTAAAATTAATGAAATAAAAAGTAAAATAAAAATACAAATGATTGGGGCTGGGGATGTGGCTCAAGAGGTAGTGCACTCGCCTGGCATGCGTGCAGCCCGGGTTCGATCCTCAGCACCATATACAAACAAAGATGTAGTGTCCGCCGAAAGCAAAAAATAAATATCAAAAAATTCTCTCTCTCTCTCTCTCTCTCTCTCTCTCTCTCTCTCTCTCTTTAAAAAAAGATTTTAAAAATACAAATGATCAATGAAATAAATAGTTGGGTTTTTTGGGGGAAAATAAACAAATTGGTAAAAACTTAACCAAACTAACTGAAAGAAAGAGATACTTGCAAACCAAATTCAACCATTATTAAAAAATACATATTACATGATCAAATTGGTTTTATTCCAGAAGTGCAAGGATGGTTCAATGTATACAAATCAATAAATGTAGTATAGAACATAATAGAATCAAGGAAAGAACACATAATCATTTCAATAGATACAGAAAAAGCATTTGATGAAATTGAACATTCTTTCATGATAAAGTCCATGAAGAAAGTAGGTATAGAAGGAAAATCCTTCAACATAATAAAGGCTATATATGACAAAACCAAACTCAGCATCATACTGAATGGAGAAAAACAGCATTTTTTTTCAAATTCAGGATTGAGATAAGGATAGCTGCTGTTTTTGAAAGACATCAAGGCTCTTCTTCACTATAGTCTTTGAAATTTGAGCCAGAGCAATTAGGCAAGGGAAAGAAATAAAGGGATATAATAGGAAAGGAAGAAGTCAAATTATCCCTATTGGCAGCTGCAATCATATACTTAGAAGACCCTAAACATCGGTTCAAATGACACTTAACCCTGATGAATAAATTCAGAAAAGAAGCAGAATACTGAATTGATGTATAACAACAAATAGTTTTTCTATATACCAATAATGAATCTTCTAAGAAAGAAATTAAAAAATAATTGCATCTATAATAGATTAAAAAATACCTAAGACTAAATCTACCAAAGGAGGTGAAATTTTCTGTATAAAGAAAATTTTGAAATGCAGAAATTGAAGCAGATATCAGAATATGAGAAACCTCCCATATTCATGGATAGGGAGAATAATTATTGTTAAAATGATCATATTACCAAAAGCAATCTACATATCCAATGTAATTCCTATAAAATACCAATGATATTCTTCATAGAACTAGGAAAAGCAACTACAAAATTTTTAAAAGACAAAACACCCAGAATAGCTAAAGCAATCCTGATCAAAAAGAGTAGAGCTGAAGGCATCACAATACAAATAACCAAATCAATAAGTGGGCAAATTAACTGAACTGAAACATCTCAAAAGAAGTACAAATGGTCAATAATTACATGGAAAATGTTCAACATCTTTGGCCATCAGGAAAATGCAAATCAAAACACTGAGATTCACTCTAGTTAGAAAGTCAACCATCAAGAATGCAAATAATAATAAAGACCAGTAAGGATGCAGGGAAAAAGGAAATCTTGCCCATTTTTGGTGGGAATATAAATTAGTATAGCCACTATGGAAATCAGTATGGTGGTTTCTTAAAAAATTACCATGTGATTCAGCTATACCACCATTGGTATTTATCCAATGAATGAAAGTTTGCATACTTAAGGACACATGAATACCCATGTTTATCACAGCACAATTCACGAAAGTCAAACAATCAGCCTTGATGTCTTTCAACAGAATAATGGATAAAGAAAATGTGAAACACACACGTACACACGTATGCATACACATACATACATACACACAAAGTTTTATCAACCATAAAGAATAACTTAGTGATATCATTTGCTGGAAAATGTATAGAACTGGAGAACATCATGTTAAGCAAAATAAGCCAGACTGAAAGTGGAGTACTAGGTGTTATCTCTCATATGTGGAAGTTAGTGAGAAAAAAAGGGGGGGGGGAAATATTAAAGTAGAAGGAAGACTGATAGAGTATAGGAAGGAAATAAGGGTGATGGAAGAGGGGAAATTAAGAGGAGTTATTGAGGAGTGAACTTGATCAAATTATATTACATGCATGTACCATATGCCACAATGAAACGCATCAATCTGTGTAATTAACATGCACCAATTTAAAAATAGATAAAAGAAGTTTATATACATGTTTCTTTTTGAAATGGTTCAAAGATTTTTATTTTGGTGGCCTCAAATTCTTACACTGAGTTATCCTTTCTGCATTGTTGATTTTAATAGGAAAAGCTCTAATATTTTCTATTTTGACTTTGAGTATTTTCTTCCTTTATCTGTTGCCTGTGAGATTGTTATAACCTGAAAAATTATTAAATTCAGTATTACACAACTTTAAGAATGAATATATATATATACACTTATATAAGAATATACTCATATTTTTTTTATTCTTATTCTAACACATACACATGCATATGCACACATATATGTATGTATCTGGTCACAGTGGCACACGCTTGTAATCCCAGCAATTTAAGAGGCTGAAGCAAGAAGATAGCAAGTTCAAGCCCAGCTTGGGAAATTTAGTGAGAACCTGTCTCAAAATAAAAAAATTAAAAGGACTAGGGATGTAGTTTGGTGGCAGAAAGCACCCAGGTTCAATCCCCAGTCTTACAAAAAAAGAACTTATATGTCAAAATACACTCTACTATCATGTGTATCTAAAAAAAATAAAAATAAATATGTAGATGTTAACCTACAATAAGGGAGGGTAGGGAGGGAAAGAATAGAAGTTCATTGGATTAATCAAAGTGGAATGAAAGGAAGGGAGGGTGAAGGGAATAGAAAATACAGGAGAATGAATTGAACATAACTGTCCTTTTCTCGTCAATGTATACACAACTAGTGTAAGTCCATATTGTGTGTGATCACAAGAATGGGATCCTAATTGGAATGTGTTGTGCTCCATGTATAATATGTCAAAATACGCCTTACTGTCATGTATATCTAAAAGCAACAAGTAAAAAAAGATGAAAATGTAGCAAATTATTTGTCTAGTTATATATAAAAACTAGTAGAGAATAACAATGAAATGATTTAACCCCTCATCATTATTATTTTGAAGTAGATGTGAAGGTAAACATGGCAGCCAATGTATAATCACTCTTTGCAATTATTTTGTCTGTAACACGTGCATTTAAAACATACACAAAATAATCTGTATTTTAGAGATCCAAATAAGAGTTTAATTGTTTAAGGAAAGGAGATTAACTTCGCTAGCAATGCTCAAATATATGAAACTATCCCCAAAGATTTGTTATATAGGCATACAATAATTTGGAGATTGAATAATCAGCACCTAATGTAACATTCCTTCACATTTACAAAATAATTTTTAACATAAATGTATTAAATATAAATTGATCAATCGCACACTGATACTTGAGACTGTTAAGCCTCCAAGGGTGAAAAAAACCTAAATTGATTTGGCCATTTTGATTAAGTGGCGATATAACAGAAGATATTGAGAGAGGTAAGGTGGCCATCATGTGGGAAGTTGGAGAGTACTGTGAGAACAACTGCTTTTCATTCTCCCTTCAATGAGTGGTGCAAGAGACGAAAATGAGAGAGTCTAAAATGTCCCATATTCTCACATCTTATTCCAGTCAGCCTTGAGAGTTTCTGAGTCTCTTGCCTGAAAGAACATGTACTTTAGCCAAGTTGCACCAAAAAGGGAAAACAAAAAATGAATCTTGGAGGAGAAGGTGGTGGTACTTTAGGATGTCTTCCTGGTAATTCCTAAAACAGCTGAGACAGTTACGTTATAAAAGAATATAGAGAATAAGAGAAATAAAATTAAACATGCAATGAGTAGAAATTTCTAGAATTGAAAAAAAAAATAAGAATCTTCCAATTCAAGAAGACCTATGAAAATTATCTAGAAAAAAGGATACATTCATTATAGTTAAAGTTCAGCAAATATTAAAGCAGTCTGAGACAGAGGTTTACAAAGGATGAACAAATAGAATGGAATAAGAAGCAACTTTTTCCTAACAAAGACAAACCATTTAGCAGCAATGAAGCCATATTTTCATATTTTTTAAGGTAAATAATTTCATGAACTCTACTCAAGTCAAGGGTTAAGTTAAAATGTCTTCAGGGTGAACAAAATAATTGACTCTCAATAAAGGATGTGTGTGTGTGTGTGTGTGTGTGTGTGTGTGTGTGTGAGAGAGAGAGAGAGAGAGAGAGAGAGAGAGAGAGAGAGAGAGAGAAGATAATGATTTGAGTAGAAGGTGTGTCCTAACTCATGCTCTCACCTTTTGGTTATTGTTTCCCTTCCCAGAACAATTTATGGTGAAAGGCATAAAGGGGCCAATCCTGGCTCCATTTGGTGGAGAAGTTGAGCTCAGCTGCCAGTTGTCTCCACCGCAGAGTGCACAACACATGGAGATCCGCTGGTTCCGTAACCGCTACACACAACCTATTTACCTGTACAAGGCGGGTAAAGACCTGTATGGAGAAACTACCTCCAGGTATGTGGAGAGGACAGAACTCCTGAAAGATGCCATTGGAGAAGGTAAAGTGACCCTCAAGATCTTTAATGTCAGTGTTGATGACGATGGGCAGTACCACTGCTTCTTTAGAGATGGAGATTTCTCTGAAGAGGACGTCACAGAAGTGAAGGTCACAGGTAAGATGGATCCCTCTGAAGTTTCTCTGCATCTGTGATTCTCAACCCATCTGTGGCTCAGCATTAGAAAAACTCTCAAGTGTTTTCAGACTATTTCCTTTTTACATAATTTGGTTAGCAAGTTCAAATTCATGCATTAAGTTTTTGAACTGGAAAGAGTAGATGATCAAGGGTGAAAACTGTGAAGACAACAACTCTATCACCAAATACCTTCTTTTTATGTCCACATACATTGTAGATTTCTAAAAGACCAATAGTTCCATTTTTAAGATTTGTTTGTTTTCAGTTATTTCTGGTAGCACTTTAGTAAAATGTAATTTTACAAGCTACCTAAAGCTTTACAAAAGTCTCCTTAATGGTAATTTTATTGTCACTTCTCCCAGACTCAATTCACTGACTATTTAGTGCTAAGTTAATTTTCTTAAACCTATTTGAAAAAAATCTTTATCTACAATCTTCAATGTCCTCAGATATATATGCTGTATCTATATGGGATGCAAATTCATAGTATTTAAGTCAAGCTCCTCATCCTTTAAATTATTCCAAATAACAGAGAAATGCAAGGGATATGGAGTAAACTGAAGAATTTCATATATGTGAGCATCCAAATGTAGGACTCCAGCCCACTCATGTTTAACATACTTATTGGGCATTATATACCACCTGACTCTGCAGTCTAGATTTGAGCTATCCAATGTGAGGTGATCGTCTAAATTTATATTTAAATTTATCAAAATTAAAGAAATAAAAATTACATGTCCAGTTCTAAAATCTCACTGACTCCATTCCAGGTAATATTCTCATGTAGCACATAGCTACTCTATCAGCAGAGGTATAGACTATTTCTCTTATTGCAGAAAGTCTTATTGGACAGATCTGCTTTTGGGTTACACTTTAAATCTCTACTAATTCTTCCTTTGTCCACACATTAGTCAAGTCTTATGTCTCAGGCAATACCTTGAAATTTTTCAAAAGTTTTTTTTTCTTTAAATGAATAGGTATTTTGATGTCATCAGTATATTAACTGTTTATGCAGGACATATTATATGTAAATACCTGTTATATATAATGAACACATAAAGTTTCAGTTTAAGTTGGATTCATACTATAATCAATTATTTATAATTGATTTTGGTGGCTCAAAAGTGACTCATGATGAAGATAGAATAAAAGATATTAAGCCATATACCTATGAGGTCTGTAATCTTCTAATAGTTATATAATCATAATGTAATCATTTTAGCAATCCAAGGACCCATGTAAGCCTCTAAGATTTAGTAAATAACTAATCAACATTTTTGATTGAATGAATGAATGAATAAATAAAACAAAGAGTCATTTTCTCCCCTAACTTATTTAGAACAAGATGTTCTTTGTATGTTGTAACCCTTTTGCCTGGCTTATTTGGTTTTCCTTTGGATTTTTGTTTCGCTGCTATGTTCCTCTTCCCTTTACCTATAAATATTGTCTTCCCCCTTCATATCCAACCAGCTACAAGCTCAGACATACAGATTTTTGTGCATCCTCCTAATACCAAAGGTCTTATTATGGAATGTCATTCAGGAGGTTGGTTCCCACAGCCTCAAATGGACTGGAGAGACAGCAGAGGAGACATACTCCTACCTACATCAAAGTCTCACTCACAGGATGGAGACAAATTGTTCAACATGAAGATGACCCTTCTTCTCAGGGATGCCCACTCTGGAAATGTTGCTTGCTACCTTAGAAACCCTCTAACTGGCCAAGAGGAAAGAACAAGCATTGTCTTAGCAGGTGAGATCTGTGTATTTGTTCTTCAAATGATAGCTAATGTCACATGACGTATAAACAAAACAGAAACATTCACTTGCTTTCTTCACTTGGTTTCCAAGGCATTAGTTTCTCTTGGATTTATTCGTCATTTTGCTTGTTGTCTTTCTTCTTCTCTTTCCTACAGTCACTATTTTTCACTGTGTTCTTGATATTGGATTTCCCAGGGCATAGGTTTTCAGCCTTTACTCTCTAATGAGTTCATCTTGCCTCCCAGCTCTAAATACCATTGATCTAATGATGGCTTCTCAAATTTTATCTTCAGGTCAGACCTCTTCCCACTCTGTTCTCATCTTCATCTCAGCATCTCAACATAGTCCAGTGGGTACCTCATGCCAAGTGTATAAAACTATACTCTTGGTTTAGTTTACTACCTTCCCAATCACACTTCATATTTTCAATTTTTCAGAACAAAATCCTTAAACTTATCCTTGACTCCAATTCTTTTCTCATATTCTACATAGTATCTGTCAAGAAATAACACCATGTCTAGCTCTAAAATAAATACCTGGTGTCTCCTCACTTCTCACCACCTCACTACTGCCCTCCAAGTCAGACCCCATCCCCCACTGAGTGATGCAGTGCCGTAGCCCCTGAAAGAGTCCCACGTCTGTTCTTACTCACATGGCTTAGCTCAACATGCAGAAAAAAGGACCCATCTCAAACATGAGACATAAAACACTACCCTCTTTCAATACCCTGCAATTGTTCCCCATTTTATTCAGAGTAAAATGCCCCACAACGTCCTGCATTGTCTGTGTTTCCATTACCTAGCTGACCTCGGCTCCTGGTGTCCTCCTTTGTCCACTCTAGAGTCACACAGACTCCTTGCTGCCCCCATTTGTGCAGATGAGCCCCTACTGTGGGGTCTTTGCTCTAGTTGTTCCCCCTTCCTACAATGCCATAAATCTCACTAACCTTCCTTGTCTCCCTAAAGTCTATGCTAAACTCTAATCTTCTTAATAAGAACTTGTTCCACAAACCAACCTGAAAAAAATGTAGCCTGCTTCCTATCACCTGGGGTCTCCTATCTCCTCACACTTCTTTAATTTTTTTATTTTTTAGTATCATTACTTTTTAACCCACGGCATAGCGTAATTATTTCATTTTCTCTTATCTCTTTACCTCTTCAAAACATAAAGGTAGGAATTTTTGTTGGTTTTATTAACTGAGACACTCCCCCAACTGCTTCAAATATTGCATGGCATATAGTATTTAGACAATCAATAACTTATACTTAAATGATTGAAATAAAACCAAAAAAGTATCTTGTAAACTACTAGTTATATATGTATGTATTAGTGTTTGTATGAGTTCATAAAATTAGTGTTGGAACCAGAAGCTGAGAAGCATATTGTAACTCATGTATATTATAATATTAATTCTCCTAACAGTTCTAGCAATTTACTTTATTCAAACACTTTTACATTTATTTTCTCATTTGGTATTCAAAAACTAAGCTTCATATTATATTGTGTTAGAAACAGAAGGACAAACTGTTATATAAAATAAAGAAAAATTGATCTATCTACTCTCTGTCCCTATAGTTCATGGCAGATATAGAAGGGAAAATATTTAATTTAATTGCAACTTCCGAAAATAATGAGACATATTTTTTGAGTTAGCACTTGCTTAAAGTAGACATGTACTTTTCTACAAACTTATATTTTTAAAAAGAGTTATAATTAACACAAACTTTGGGAAATAATTCTCAGTTCCAGGAAATATAGACATCTCAGGGAGATCTGATGTTCCATTCATGAATATCAGAACATATGGAAAGAGTCAAAACTTATGATAAAGAAAATATCGTAAGTTTAATCTTACTTGGGACTCTGTCCCTGCCTGACTTGTGAGCAGATAAAAGTCTGTTTTGACCTCATTGGGTTGTGGTAGGAGGACAGGGTGGATATCTGGATACAGGATTAGTTACAACACCATGGGTATCTTGGTCCGCTCAATATGCACAAGCCAGTAGGCCAAAGTAGATGCTTGTTCATACGACTAGAAGAGAAAATTTTACATCGACTATGTCTCTGGATGTATTTGAGAAGAATAATGCCAGACCCAAAAAGTACATTGGCAAATTCAGAACTGCACATATTCTGATAGTTTAGACAAGAGGACTGAAGGCTTGAGTTGGGAGTGACCTTGTTATAGTTCTGGAAAAAGTGCATCTGAGTCTTGGGTGGGAGTGTAAGGGGAAGAACTTAGCACTACCTCTTTCTTTTACCCAAGGAGCTCATGAAACAGAATGCATGGGAAGAAATACAGAGAGTGGGTTTCACTCACATGTGTCAGCCTGACTCAGCCTCATTCTAGACCCAATCCTACTTTTCACCTACCCAATCATAAACGTCTCTCCAAACTGGCGTAGGTTTAATATTCCAGGGAGAAGGGATCTTGAATTGGATTATGCTTTGGATGAATCATCATTTTTAATTGGGTGGGTCCTTCACCCCAAGTTTCCTAAGAGGTAAGATTTGTAACTCTCCATTTCAGATGAACTATTTTCACAGAAGAAAATTTGGATAATAATTATAATTACACTTGCGACAGTGCTGATATCCTCTATTGCATTTCCCAGTGTTGTATTCTATTGCCAACAGGGACAAGGTAAGTAGGTTTGAAGAATGAGAGATGCAAAGTGGAAGAGGGCAAAGAGCTAAAGCTGCTCTTTCTTCCCAAGTCTGTCTACCTGAGACATTCTAAACTCTTGGGTGTTAGATATATATCCTACACCAATTCCTTGGTCCTAGATATTTTTTTCTTGTTGCTGAGCTGCGTACAGTGTTATTTATCTGGAAGCCTGAGCACCTTAAAAAAGCCAAAACCTCTTTTTTTATGGTAATAGATAGGCAAACAAGCTTGGAAAGATTTTAACAACATCTAACACCATTAATACATATTTCTCCCTTGGAAATGACCTTCTCAGGGACAGAAAATAAAGTATCAAATGCATATTGCCATGAAAAGGCTTCAGAGAGGTCACTCACCACTGCATCAGGAAAACAGAGCACTCAGGGATAGATACACTAGTTGCAACATGGGGTGATTTACTTTTCCCTGGAGAAAAAGTTTTCATTCATTCTAAATTATGCTATGGGGGGAAGTGAAATTGAAGGATTCACAATAAAATTTGGTATACACAATAAATAGCCATTCAGGATTGGAAAGCACCAACTCAATAAAGGTTTACAACATACCAAAACATTCAAAATGGCATAGCAGAATTCTTGATTGGCTCAAGAGCAGCCTCCTAGATTCATTTCCTCATACAGCATTGCAGGACAGGATGTCATTTCTAGGTGGGCTAAGAGAGGAGTCTTTCCTCTGGGAAGAAAGACATCAGATTTCCAAACAAAATGACAAGGTCATGCCCAATATGCACAAGCCAGTAGGCCAAAGTAGATGATATGCTCGTTCATATGACTAGAAGAGAAATTTTTACATAAACTATGTCTTTGGATGTATTTGAGAATAATAATTCCAGACTCAATTTTAAAAGCCTCAAGCTCACATACCCACTCTGGTACCCTGTCTTTAACAATCAGATAAGATCCCCTAGGATCTCCTCCCAAACCAAGTAGTCAGCTGAGGATATGGGTCTCAGTTCTTCTGCATTTCTCCCAACTTGATGGATCTCTCCTTTTTCATTTCTACCTGCTCTTCTGGCCTGAACTCTGTTATTTGATTTAAATGGCTGCCATTTTCCATTACTGTGTCCATGGGGCTTGGGAAGAACCCACGTACCAGAGAGCCCCAAATCCACAACTTTAGCTCCTGCTAGTTGCTGTTTCACTAAAGTAAATTTTTGTTTAGTAGCTTATCTGCTTATTGATAGCATCCAAGTTTCAAGGATTTTTAAAATTATTCCTCTCCTTCATTACACCTTTTAATGTAATTCCTTTTTTATTGCATACTTCCTTCTAGTATCTTGTGCTTTATTGAGACTTCTAAGGAAACATGTGTTGTTCTAGATAGCTCTTTAGAGATTATAGTGAAAGATCTTTCTACATTGATCTTTACAAAGCAAACTGCCTCCAGTTATTCAACTATTCCCTTCTGGCATAATTTTAACTCCTAACATTTATTAATCTTTATCTAGAAGGTGTTCTTGAATCATTTGAAATGAATCATTTTCAAGGTGGCAGAGTCATTCTATGGTAGGAATTATCACCATGAGAGTCTAACACTTTACTGAGTTTTTACTATTAACAAGGCCTATTCCAGTAACTTCACAAATATTAAGGAATTTGACCTCTACAATGCACTTTGAACTAGATGTTATTACTATCCCCATTTTTCCATATGATGAAAATTATGTATTTCAAAGTTGTATTGCACCTAAAATCACAAAGGTGATAATGGTAGGAAATAAGTTTGAATATAAACCATATTTACACTCATATCCTATATTTTAATCACTAAGTTGAACTGTTCATTTAACCCTCTAGCAGAAGAATGGGCAAACCAATAGTAGTAAGCCTTCACAGCATGAAATAACTCCATGAAGAGAAGAGACAGCCAAATGATACTACCATGATTTGAGATAAAGAAGATTTTAAATAATGTGTTATCTGAAGGTCATTCACTTGTGATATTCTTGTATTTAACGACCTTAAAACCCCATATCCTGCTCTCTAATGAGGCCCATTGATTGATGGGCTAGATAGAGTAAGATTTGTTTCTTTCCTCCAGACCTGTTTAGCCTCAGCCCAAAACCTCTCCCATCCCTTTTTCCTATCATCAACAGCTCTCTGATATTTCAGTCCTAATCCTTAGTCCTGTTCTTAATCAATACTGGAGAAGGCATCAAAATATAGTTGTTGTTTTCTTTTGTCCTTTCCCCCAAATCCAAAGTGTCTCCCACCAGTAACCAGTGATTATTAACATCTCTTTTTCTTCAGGTAGATGCTGCAGCTGGAATTCTCCTCTGTTAGTGGGTTCAGTAATAATTATTTCTTCAGTGATTGTGGATGTCATACTCAGTGTCTATTTGTATCAGCATCAAAGAGGTATGTAGGATCAAGAGGATGAAAATTTTTTTCCCCAAATGCCCAGTAGCTGTTAAGATACTTAGCCAAAGAGGAGGGATACTTGTGTGAACTATAGGAACAATAGACCCTTGGGCCACATGTCATAGGGTTTGAATTCCAGCCTCCTGAATTTTATGGGATTAATGATACAGTAAAAATTACTGCTGTTTCTGCTTCTAGAGAAAATATTTCTTCAATTTAATAGTCTTATTTTTGCTCCTAAATCTAGCCATCAGCACTTTGCTTCATAAGTTACTCTAATTATTCCCATACTTTAACCTAGAGATAATGATTCACTGTATCTTAATGTTTGTAGGTCATAGATATCTTTCAGAGATTGATGCAAAGAAAGGGACCCTCTTTCAAAATTATCCATCAGTACATAAAAATTTTGCTTAATGTCATGGTGTGCTTGGACACCTGAAATTGATCCTTCTTTTTTAGCTCTCCTTGAAGGTGAAATTAAATTAGTAATTACAAAAGTTTGGGATAGTTGAAATCAGCATTTAAAATGTGCCATCCACAGTATCTTTGAGGTCCCTAAGAAAATTGTATGTACAAGGTAATGATCATTAAGATAAAGTAATTTTTAATAATATGTCAGAGTCATAGACAAAACCACAATGCAGAAACCATAAAGTAGGACTGGACTTTTCAGAWGATTTTTTTTCATTAACTTTTTCTGATAAAATGAAGACACAAATGGTCTTAAACCAAAAGAGGTGAAATTAGAAATTCTGCAACATCTTACAATATGTTCATCTTAAAGCATGAATGAACTTTGAGGATATTATTCTAAATGAAATAAACTACTCACCAAAAATACTATATGGTTTCACTTGTATAAGGCACTAGGAGTAATCAAAACCATGCAGATAARAAATAGAGTGGTGGCTGGCAGGGGCTGGATGTAGAAGATAGGGAATTGCTAGATGAATACAGAATTTCAATTTGGAAGATAAAAAAATTTCTGGAGATGAATGGAGGTGATAGCTGCAAAACAATATGAACTTAACTTCCCTATGTACATATATGAACACACCACAGTGAATCTACATCACGTACAACCACAAGACAGGGATCCCAGTCAGAATAAGATGTACTCCATGTTTGTATAAATATGTCTAATTATACTCTACTGTCATGTATAACTAAAAAGAACAAAAAACGAATTAAAAAATAAAATGAAAGTGAAAAGTGGAAAATATATTAAAAATAGTATGAACTGTAGAGTTAAAAATTGTTAAATATGGTAAAGTTCATGTTATGTACATTTTACTATGATTAAAAAATAAAATTTTCTAATTTTCAAGGGACAATGTTACAACAAAGAAAAGGCATTATAGAGTGGAATAAAAGATTTGTAAAATGCACATACTGACAAATAATTGAATCTAGAATACATTATTTCATTTTACACAAGACAGCTACTACTAATCATCCCTTTCTTTTATAGTATTTTCAGTTTTTCATTGAAGAAATGTACACTATAATTATTGAAATGGCTAGAGTCTAAGTGCATATTGTGCACTGGCACATTATTTTGCATAATACTGCTATGAACACAGGTCTACCTCTTCTAGACCCTGAATTTAATTATTTTAGATATAAATACARAAATGGAACTTGGTCCAATTTTCTTTTTAATTTTTGAAGGCACTGTCATATTGTTTTCCACAGTGTCTTCACCATTTTTTTATCCTTACAAATRGTGCACAAGAATTCCTATTACTTCCTGTGAACACCAACACTGTCCTTTTTTTTCCATATATGGTAACCAACTAGAAGAGTAACATGCTATCTCATTATAGTTTCAAATTATATTTTCCTAATTGTTGATGATGTTAAGCATCTTCTTGTGTTCTTATTGACCATTAGTATGTCTTTTTTTTATTTGGAGAATTTCCATTGGTGCATCATAGTTATACATAATGATGGGATTCATCATGCTGTAATCATACATACATAGGACATAATTTGATCAATCTCATTCCCCAGTACTTTTCCTACCCCCCCCCAACCCCTCATCTTCTTGCTGTACTTTACTAGTTTCTCTACTACTATTATTGTTATTTTAATTGTTGGAATACATATATATTAGTGCATGTATATTTGTGTGTATACACACATATGATTCATTATGGTATTCATACATAGACATAGCATAACTAAGTGGATTTTACTCCCTAGTAATTCCCGGTGCCCAACCCTCCTGCCTCCCTCTTGATCCACTCCTTCTATTCTGTTGGTCTCCCTTCTATTTTTGTGAGATGAAGATATAGTTGTTCAAGTCATTTTCCCAGTTTTGAATATTGTTTGTTTTTCATTTTGACTTTCAGGAGTTCTCTATATGCTCTGTATGTTGATCTTTATCAAATAAAAGATTTACAAATATTTTCTCTGATTCTTTAGGCTGATATTTTTATTCTATTAATGGTGCATTTAAATTTTTTTAGTTGTACATGGTCACAATACCTTTATTTAATTTATATATGTGGTGCTGAGGATTGAACCCGGTGCCTCACACATACTAGGCATGTACTCTACCACTGAGCTACAACTCCAGCCTGTGATGCTGCATTTTAATGTGCAATTTTTAAAAAGTTTTATGCACTCAGTTCAGTTTGTGTATGATTTCTTTGATACCATATCCAAGAACCTATTGCTAAGTCCAATGTCAAGAAGCCCTTGGCCTGTTTTTCTCTAAGAGTTACACAATATCAGATTTTACATTTATGCTTTTTATACATAATGATATACCCATTTAGGGTTAATCTTTGGATACAGCATTAGATAAAGACCCAACCTCAATCTTTTACATGTGAATAGTCAGTATTTCTCAGCACCATTTATGGAAGAGAGTCCTTTCCCCACTGAATGTATTGACACCTTGTCCAAGATCACTTTTTTAATATGTAAGGACGTAGGCTGCATTCTATTCCACTGGTCCACATGCATGTCTGTATGCCAGGTCCACACTGTTTTAAGTGCTGTAAGCTTTGTAGTAGGTTTTGAAAGCGGGCTGAGAGTTCTCCAGCTTTTTTCTTTTAAAAAAAAATTGGGGGGAATATTTGCGGCTCCTTGAGATTCTCTATGAGTTTTAGGATGGGCTTTTCTATTCCTGCAACAAATGCCACTGAATTTTGTATGAGTTAGTTGCCTTAAAGCTGTAGATAATGAAAGAAAAGAGAAAAACAAAGCAGTTTKGGGGGTAGGTACTCTGGATGTTACCTCGATTGGAGAGAGAGATACATGCAATGAGAGGAGAAATTGTAACAATGATGGCCACCCATGCATCTGGTGATCAGAAGCAGCAGTGATCACAGAATAGCCCCCTTATATTTCCTTATATTTTAGAAGGACAGAAATTAATTTTGCCCAMTCTGGCTCCTACTGGAGATGTGCAGGATGCTCCAAGAACTCAACAACTGCCAACCACAGGGAAGGTAGATGCATAGCTGTTACCCAACACTATTTTTTCTATGAAAAGAAATGCAAATGATATGATAAGGTATAGATAGTCATAGATGCCTTGTAAAAAATGAAAGATAAAATGTTCTAAACTCATATAATTAGTCAATATATTTTTTACAAATATTTTMTCCTGGTCTGGCTCGCCTTTTCATTTTCATAACACTGTTCCTTTAAAAGCAGAAACAATAATTTTTTATTATGGTAAAGTGTACACAACATAATATTTACCATTTTAATCATTTTAACTCCACCATTTAGTGATATTAAGTACATTCATATTGTTGTGCAACCATCACCACAATCCATCTCCAAAAAACTTATCTTCCCAAATTTAAATTCTATATTCATCAAACCATAACTCACTATCTTCACCTCCAGCCCCTGGCAACCGTCACTCTGTTTTCTGTCTTTATGTTTTTGTCTATTTTAAGTACCTCACATATGTGAAATCATATAGTATTTGTCATTTTTGATGGGCATATTTCACTTAGCATAATGTCCCCAAGGATTATTCATGTTGTAATATATTGCAAAATATTTTTCACTTTTAAGATTAAGCAATATTCCTTTGTATTGATATAAGATGTTTATCCATGCATCCTCTGAGAGATGCTTGGGTTGCTTTCTGTTTTAGCTCTTACACCAAATGCTACTGTGAATGTGGGTATACCAACATCTCTTCTAGTTCCTGCTTTCAATTCCTTTGGGTATATACACAGACATGAAACTTTTGGATCACATTATTATTCTATTTTTTCTTAGGAAYTTTTATACTAATAAATGGGATACTAGCTATCTTTAGTTTATATAAGAAAGTAATTTCTTTCTTTTTTGGGGGGGAGGGGGGTTGAGGAGTACCAGGGATTGAACTCAAGGGCACTCAACCACTGAGCCACATCCCCAGCCCTATTTTATATTTTATTTAGAGACAGGGTCTCACTGAGTTGCTTAGTGCCTTGCCATTGCTGAGGCTGGCTTTGAACTTGCAACCCTCCTACCTCAGCTTCCTGAGTTGCTGGGATTATAGGCATGTGCCACTGTGCCTGGCAGAAAGTATTTTCTAATTGGCATTGTTACACAGTAATACAATTTCTAATTGGCATAGTTTTAGCAATGGTGCTACCATCACAAGACACAGTAACCAATATCATGAACTGTGGACTTTTTTTCACTATAGAATTACCAAGAAAAAAAAACACTTTAAGGGAAATTTCTGCTCCAGATGACAGTATGACTATTGGGAATTGTAATTTTCCAGAACCTTCAGCACTAGATAAAGCCAACAAAGGCATAACATATCCATCTTTCCTTCAGACTCTGGCCAGCCAGAGCAAGCACCAAGGTATTGAATAGAAGAATAGATATCACCACCTCATAGCCCTCCTCCAGCTTCAGCCCAAACTTGCTCATGTCCAGGATTGTCCATGTAGCCTCCTTCTCTCCCATTCTCACAAATTCAGAAAGTAAGGAATAATAGTAATCTGAAAAACAAATCTATCATCAATCTTTAATACAGCGCTCCTTTCTGAGTGGCAGCTCCCTAATTCTTTCATGTCTCCCAGTTCCTGATTCAGATCCACTATTTGCATTGGATGCCATCTGGGCAGAAGATATGATTGTGGCCCTCTGGGTGCTGATGGTCTTCATCACCATGCTCATTTCCCTTATTTACTTCAAAATGAGAGGTAAAGGGAATGGGAAATTCAGAAGGCATGGTTACTCTGACTGATGGCTGGATATCCAGAAGGGTAACTTTTCTGCTCCTTCTGTCTTAATAATTGGAGGAAGGAATGAGGAACTGTGTCCTATGTAAGGATTTGTAGATTGTAGCTTTCTTGAGGTTCCTGGGATTTCTAATAGTGCCAATGTTAGTGGCTCAAAATCCACTGACAGTCACAACTGTGATTACACAGTTATAACAACGCTCCCAGGTACATGTGGAAGGGTCAGCTTTGTTTGATCTGCAGTCTCTGAAACTTCTGTATATACAGCTCTTTAAAAAGCACACATGATTTCTTCTCAAATGATCTCAGAGGCAGAATTGAACATTTAACATCATAGTTTTCTCTTTCAGAAACGTGTGAGTGTCTACAGGGGTAGAACCAGGAACATTTCTGAACCTATATTGATAAAGGACATATGTCTTTGAAATATTCCCTTACTAAAGTCAATTCTTGTAAAAATAGAAGGGAAGATAGAACTAGTGACCCAGGAAGGAAATTTTTACACTTGATTTCTGTGTTCTACCAATAACCTACAATCTTAAAGCATTCTACTTTAAAAAATGTACATGATTAACCAAATGTACATAGTCTTTATTCTCTTCAGCTTTTCCCCTCAAACAAAATGCAAATCCATGCACAATACAAAGAAATCATTTTAAGTAAAGAAGGCTCAGATTCTGGAACACAGAACTCTGTACTGTTTTCATCTTTGCATCCACTGATTCTTGACTCTATCCAAACCACCCACTGAGAGCAGACAGGTGTTGAGTTGTTCAACTAGACAAGACAAAATGACAACCCAGTCAAGCCTTTATCCACTTATTGCAGGAGTATAAGAAAGAGGTCAGAGGAAAAGTAATACTGGCTTTCCACTCGTTATGGTTTGAATCTGGAATGTCACCAAAAGATCAGGTGTTGGGAGCATGGTCTCCAATACAAGAAGGTTCAGAAGTGGGGCTTTTCAGCAATTATTAGGGCTGAGACTTCATCAATAGATTAATCCATTTGACAGATTAATAATTTGAATGTTCTGCTAGGTGGCAACTGTGGGCAGATGGTCATGGCTGAGGGAGGTAGGTAACTAAGTATGTAACCTTGAGGAATATATCTTGTCACTGGAGATTCTCTCTCTCTCTCTCTCTCTCTCTCTCTCTCTCTCTCTCTCCCAGCTACCATGAACTAAGAAGCTTTCTTCTGTTACAGATTCCCACCGTGATGCTCAGCCTAACCTTGGACCTGAAGCAATAGAGTTGGCTGACCCCATAGACTGAATTCCTGAAATCATGATCCTGAAATAAACTATTCCTCCTCTCAGTTGTTCTTATTAGGTATTTTGACTACAAGGATGAAAAGTTGACTAACACAGTGCCGTTCCTTTTCCCACCTGGAACAATACTTTAGCAAGGCTAAATTATACTGCATGTCACCTGAGACATGTGGTGCATGTGAAGGAAAGCCTCACTACAGAGGGCTCCTGCCCTTTGGTGGATTAGGAGGAGTAATGAGGGTATACAGGGAAGGATTAGGAATGGAAATGTATTGAGTCAGAATACAGAAGAATTTTTATAGTCAAGATGTTCTATAAAACAGACAGACTCAGCAGAGATGATTGAAATTTGTCCTAGCTGAGGATCTCAATAAAGAGGCCTCTAAAAGACAGTTCCTGGACCACATATGCCAAGAGCATGACTACCTGAGAGCTGGGGATTGATTCCTTGCCTGAAACTCCCTGCAGACACTTTAAGGCACTGGATGTGTGCAGTATGTGGTGTAGGAAAACAGCTTTCTCCATGAGGCTTGCTAGGCAAAGTCTTTGTAATTTCCTATGGTGGGACAAAGAGGATCACACACAGGATATTGGGCAGGAGACAAACTTCCCTCATTACATTCTTAATGTTCAGATACAGTCCACCATTGAAATGAAACAAATGCAGGGGATAAGTGTATTTTCAAAGTACAAATTTGTACTCCTTATACTAGTTTCTGCCAACAAGAAAATCAACCCAGTCATTTGCATTTATAAGCATGGATTAATGATAAAGGGAAGTAGTATGGATCCTATAGTTGATACTCTTCAGCTTAAGTCACATTTACCTACTGACTCAATGAGACTAACTGCTGTGACCTGCACAGCCAAACCTTAGAAACTGGCAAGGGGCAATGGGGAATTAAGAAAGACACATRAATATTTAGAGAGAAAGCTGGGATCAGGTGATACATTGATCTGTGATGGAGAAGCAGTGACCCACAGCTAGCACAGCACATTTATTATATAGGGTTTCATAATCAGGAAGTTAATGTTCTTTGTGCACTAAAAAGTTACAGGACTAGAAATATTTTTGTAGCTATTCTACTGTTGCAATGTYAGGAGCATCCTGTTGTGCTCAGGAATCCCATTGTCCAGAGTTCCTAGTAAGAGGGCAGGGTTGGAGGTCAGAGCACTGGTCAGACATTGTGGTTATCTTGTCAAGCTCAGAATTCTCTTTTCCTTGGAATTGGTGCCTGAGCTCAAAGTCAAGACTGATATAGCTCTGTGTTTTTGCACAGAGCCTTCTCAGGCAGGCTGTCCATAGCAACTGGGCAATCTTGACCTGCACCTTGCTTGCCCAARAAGTTCCCAATGCAAGTGTACCACAACCATGAGGCAGAGACCATGATCCAAATCACTGCTCTCCATAACTAACAAGAGAAAGTGAATGAGAAGTTTTACTTTCTGTAATGCAGAAGACCAAAGGAACTGAAATATACTCTCTTCAGCTACATGGAGCTCCAAGGCCATTGATTGATGGTGCTTCTCTGTGTCCTACTAAGAACAATGACAGAGGTGATTGAAAAACATGTCTTTGAGGTGGTCTAGATGTTGCAACTATCAGATAACAACTTTAAAGCATTTATTATAAGTGTGTTCAAAGAATTGGAAAATGTTTAAAATTTGTAAATAACTGTATTTCAACCTCAATTACAGACAATCAATAAAGAGAAATTATAGGGGCTGGGGTTGTGGCTCAGTCATAGAGTGGTCACCTAGCATGCACGAGGCACTGGGTTCGATCCTCAGCACCACATAAATGTAAAATATATTGTGTCCACCTAAAACTTAAGAATAAACATTAAAAAATGTATGTACCAATGTATCATCTCTTTGCATGGTAAATAAACCCAATAAAGATTTTTTAAAAAGAGAAATTATATTTATTATAATAATTGTACTATTATTAAATAATACAATAAATTCTATTTATAATTTTAGAAGATGATTCTGATGGTGAAAAGAAAATAACTGAAAGGAAAATTTTACTGGAATAATTCAGTACATATTTGACACAAAAGGAAGAATTGGTAGACTTGAAGCTATCTCAATAGACATTATACTATCTGAAGCACAGAAATTTGATGGAAGACATTGATCTGTCTTCCATCTGTCTAGGATAAACACAAAATGACACACTCTCCATAGTTAAGCAGTTGAAAGATAAAGATTAAAACAGAAAGAAAATGAAAGACTCATCACATAAAATGAAACTACACTGTTACCATTGCTTAGTTATAGAAAACAATGGACAACAGAAGGTAATGAGAAGATGTATTCAAAATGCTAATAGAAATACAAAGAACATGTATATGCTCCTTTCATTYTCTTTTTAATATCTAGAGAGAGCATAGAAGCATTTTATATTATTTTCTTTTCTTTTTATCCTTTGTACAAATTTATTGAGGTTTGATTGGTTGCAACATATTACATATATTTAAGGTGAAAAATTTGATGCTGCTTGACATAGCCATATATCCTCTAAACTATAACTACAATAGACATTCCTTAATTCCATTTTTTTCTAAATACTCCTTGATAACTCATCCTCACCATTTTCCTACCACTATCCTCAGGCAAACATTTGATATGCTTTTTGATATTAGAGATTAATATATGTTTTGTAGAATTTTATATGAATGAAATCACAAAGTACATATTTGTTTTTATTTGACTTCCTCCACCTAGAATAATTATTTTGGGGTTCATCTTTGCTGTTATATATATACAGCAGAATAGTAGTCCATTGCATTGATATGCCACTCAATATGATGAATTTGTTGAATTATTCAACTGTTAATGTACTTTGGAGTAATTTCCAGTGTTTCCACTCTATTACAAATAGAGTRGTATGAATATTCATGTGCAAGTCTTTTTGTGGACTGTCCTCATTATCTTTCATTATGTAGACATGGAATATCAGCATCAACATATGATATATGTATGCTTAACTGTTTATGAAACTACTAAATTATACTACAACATGCTTGTGCCAGCAGTGTATGACAGTTTTCACTGTTTCATGTTCTGGTCAATATTTGTTATGTCAATCTTTGTACTTTTAGCTACTGTAGTGTGTGTAAACTAGTATCTCATTGGAGTTTTAATTTACATTTCTTTAAGGATTAATGATACTAAAGATTTTTCATGTGCCTCAACTTAATCTATTTCTAGTTATAAAAGTAACACTATATTTAATGGTCAATTCCAGTAATCAGAGTCCTCAGACAAAAACTTTTGAAACAATATTTCTCTTATTATTCCACACTTATATATGTTGGTCTTAACTTTCACATTCCAAAATCATTTGTCTGGTTATAATTCTTTGATTCAAACCACCGATGCTGCTGCCACCACACAGAGGTCCATTGATAGGGTGCCTGTAGATTTGGTTGCATGTGGCCACCTCCATCTTGGGACACTGGCCAGGACCTGGGGGGCCAGAGTGCCTGCATTTGTGCTGCCACGGCCATCTCAGGCATAGCCAACTTTGTCTGGGGACACTGGCCAGGGCCAGGAGGTCCAGGGACAGGTACCTGCAGGTTTAGCTGCCCCTGAGGTCTTCCTGCTAGGAGTGCTATTGGCCACCATCTTGCTGCTTCTTCACAGGGTCCCTCCTTTCTGTGAGTTCATCCCTGGTGGTATCACTGAA